TTTTAGGGAAAAGTTTTAGCACCCCTGGGAGGTGCTCAATATAAACAATTTTCAAACTCAAATCTGCCACAGATCCCTAAATTTCATTGTGTTTAAATTAATACCTATATAATAAGAGGCGGATCTAGGGTTATCAGATTAGTCACGCGAATAACGTAAAAAAAGGCATATAAAAAAATTTGGATCAAGGTTTTTAAAAACTATTTCCAATGCGCAAAGCCGCAAACACTTCCCTTATTTTGAATCACACAATCAAAACTCTATCACACTCCAGCATGCAAACTTCGATGAGTTTTTGCGTATTGAGCCAGTGATTGATTAGTCAAACCAAACGATAAGTCAAATAAGCGGTTTTCAAATGAAAATTGACTAATCTGCGTTTTAGTTCATGTAATTTGATTGGCCAAATTTGCTCCGACTACACATAACAGGCGTATTGATTGGTCAAACCCATTTGGACTAACGATTGCAAAGTTTTGACTAAAGCATGCAAATTTCCGACTAATCGTGCAAATAGATATAGCAGCTTGTGATTGGACTATTTGCGCAAAAGAGTTAAAAAACATCTCCTCTGATTGTCTGCCTAATCTTCAATTTGGAAGCATTGTGCACTTGGTAGCTCTCTGCAATTTTACAAGGGGGATCCCAGTTGGATACTGAGAAAGTTGGATTCTCAGGGGGGATCCCAGTTGGATACTGAGAAAAAATATAGATTTCAGACCCTGATTCATAATATTTATGTGTTATAAATATTTATTTATTGTATATTTCTAGCCGGCTGGCCAGAAAATTGCAAATACATGCTTAGCGCATTGATTGACTGACAATAACTCTACAAAATTAATATACTTTATAAAGATAATAATAATTAATATAATCTTTGGTTATATTTTTAGATCTGATCCAACTGGCAATTGCCTGTATAGCTCTGTTTTCTTAGCATGGACAGGTACCAATGGCCTAATTTTACCTTCATTTGATAGTTTAAATGTTTATAGTACAAGTGTGAAAGGTCTATTTGGGCACTTATAGGACACTAAAAGACTATAAGTGAAGTATTATGGTTGAAGACCGCTTGGCCATGATGCAAATTCACCAGGAAATTATTCCTAACATAGGAAATGTTATTGATAAATTTTCTGTTGGGAACACAAGGTTAAATATCTCGGCTGGCGAAAAGACCACTATCGCCTCCAATAACAATAACCTCACTCTTGTACACAACACTGACATGAGAAAAAACTTCCTGGGGTAACTTTATTGGAACTTCCTCTCATTCTGCATCATCACCAACCAAACATAGCCTTTCAAGAGTATCACCACCTTCCCATAATTATCCCCCCACAAACATTCGGCCTTTGTAGACACCTTTGCTTCACCCCTCCTATTTTGTGTGAAAGTCTTTAACCCTAACGCCTAACCAGGGTTTTTTCCAGGATTTTCTCTTGGGTCCGTTTTTGTAGAGAAGATTGAGTTTAGCTGAACAGTTGGGGTGGCTGCACCCCCCCCCCCCTACCGGGGGGGCTGACACCTGTACTCAATAAATGTAATTGAGATGGAATGTGTTAAAACAGGGACACTATAAACTGGTTAAAGATGGCTTGTCGGGCTTCCAACTGAAAACTAATTTCCACACGTCACAACGTTTTATAACTCAAACAACTTCATTTTTACTGCACTGAAACTTTGGTGAGAAGATTGAGTTTCAAAACTCAATACAAGATTGACTTTTTGGGGTGGCCCTAAAAAATCCCGGAAAAAATCCCTGCTAACCCAGGGCTGTTGAAGCTCGCTCAGTGGTGCCACTTGCACCCCACCAGAAATATTTCTACTCCTCCTTTAAAAAAAATGAAAATCTGCCCTTGCATGAACCAGTTAAATTTTGCAACAGACAAACTCCACATTGCCAAATATTTGCGGGATGCGTCTAAAATTCAAGTGGGATTCGGGATTTTAAGAGAAATATTGGTCGGGAAGCAAGATTTTATTCCATCACGGGAAGTGGGATTGATTAGAATACCATGGCGATACGCGGGAAAGTAATCCACGATTAGCTGGATAAATCAACAATGTTGATTGTGGTGTGCTTGAAATTTGGCACCCATCGACACCCCCCCCCCTCCCCCATTTACATGCATGATTGCGGCTTTAATAAGAGCCATGATTTAGAATCATTTATTATTTTAAACTTTGTTGTATTGTATTCTAGTGTATTTCAAATTGTATTATATGTCATCACCATGTTCTTTGAATGCTTGGTTATCTATTGTCTACATCTAAATCATAATACGTTGAACAGTGTTAGAAAAAAAGCCAGGAGCAAGTTGGATTAGGGATGAGCCGATTAATCGGTAAATAATCGGCAAAGCCGATTAATCGGCCGTTTTTTAAATAATCGGTAATCGGCCGATTATTCCTGATAATCCGCAAATAATCGGCCATAAGACTTTTTCTGCAGCTGCCAATCACATGCTAAATACTGAATACAAGCGAGTAGATTTTCACATTTTGTTGCAAAACCTGTGTCTTTTGTCTCAAGCGAAGTGAAGCTGGGAACATTTCCACTCAAAAAAGGCAGCAGACTACACGTCGTGTGAGGCCCGTGGTAGATTTTCAGCGTGAAAACCTAGGGGCCCTAAATGCACGAGGTGCCTAAATTCGCGAGGCATTTTAATTTGCGAGGCATCCAAATGGGCGTGTCCCAATAGAAAATGGATGTGTTCTCGTAAAAATAAGCGTGGTACCGTACAGCGCGAGGTCCCCATAAGCGCGAGGCCCGCGGCATATGCCGCATCTGCCACGTGGTTAATCCGGCCCTGCCTAAATTGTCACTCATTTCTGACTAAACTCAAGGAGTTTGGTTAGAAATGAGTGACAATATAGGACATTTTGTGCTCCTGAATGTCTCTTGATGTGCCCCTGAAACTGTTTTGTACCCTGCCCCTAGATTTTTAGCTTCTGTGCCCCCTGAAAATCTCGGCAAAAACTGCCCATCTCTGCAGTCTGGCAGCTTGGTAAACAGGGCTGGAAAGCACTGCAACATGTTTTATTCCACTTAAAAACTGTGTGAAAAATCCAGGCATGAAAGAAATTAACAAAAGCATGCTTCCCAAAGTTTATAAATTTCCCGCCAATATCGGAATTTCTTGCTACCGCTTGAAAGGCTAGTCTCATACGAAGCAAATGCCAAGTCTGGCAAGTCAGTTTCATTCTGGCATTTATCTGCTGCCCTGTACAAGCTAAATTAACTCTATACCAAAATATACGTCAATAACGCTGTATAATTTTAGCTTTTATATACCTGCAACTTCGTAGCTAACTTGTTGGCCTTCGCTTGTATCGACAACGCATTGAAATACTGTTTGTTGTGGAGCTTCCTCGCCCTGCTCGGTCGGTCGAACGACGTGTTCGCTTGTGTTAACAACACACTCGAATGCGGCTTGCCCACCAGCTTGTTCCAAAGCTTGTTGCTGATTTTGTACTACACAATTCAAAGCTTCGATGATAATATTGTACTCGACCGGTATTTCTTCCATGATATCCAAAAAAATTTCCTTCAAAGAAGCGAATTTTATAAAGCACGCTCCTGAAAATGGAAATCTCGCAAAGAAAACAAAATGGCTGGAAAGGAAATTTAACTGGTACGCATTAGCCAATCGGATTGGCCGAAACGCATCCCGTGACCTACATCACGTGTGTTAAAGAACCAATCAGAATGTGGGATTTTATGAACGTCATTATGCAGCTGGTCAGCGAGATTTTTTCTAATTTTGAAGAATACAAGGTAAGTTTTCAATCATTTTTCGTGTTTTTTGCGAGGTTTTTTGTACATTTTTTAGAGTTACTTTACCCAAATAAGTCTATGAAGTTTTCTACTTTAGTCTGAAGTTGAAACTGATTGAATGATGTAGTAAATGGACAAGTTTACTTCATTGTTTAGTCGAGTATTCAAAGAGTAGAATATCAGTTTGGAATGGTCTGGAGATAATATAAATATATTAAATCTTGGCACTACTCAAAAGGAAAAGATAAAACTATTCGAGGCATATTTCACACTACTGACTAAATTAATAATTTATAAATTAATCAGTTCGTTTTATCATTGTTGCACCGTGTATGTATATGTATGTATGTATGTAGTGTATATCTTTATACGGTTTACCGGTGAAAAAAGAAAAAATGTCCCACTTGGTAATTCCTAAATTGATGATTCCTACAGAAAAACAGAACAAATTAGCAATAAAATGAAATCACAACAAACTGCAGAAGCAGAAATGGGACACTTTTTGTATTTTCACTGTAAATACTGACAATTATCACTTATTTACTGAGACCGAGGGAAACATCGACCCGAGACCGTCGATCGCCGAGGGAAACATCGACGGTCGAGGGTCCACAAAACACACTGCTTTCCCGAGGTCTCAGTAAATAAGTGTTTTATTATATATCAATAGTCAAAGAAACAACAAATCAAAGAACAAATGAACGTAAATACATGAAATATTTTATTGTTACTGGCTACACTGCAGTTACGAAGTTTTAATTACGTACATGGCATGTCCAAATGTCGCATCTTCACGTGATGGCGCACGTGATTTTTTTTGTTATTCGCCGGTCGAGAACGTATTATCTCCCTCTCGCCTAATTTCTCGCCCCTCAGAGCCTAATTTCGTCACTCTCACCTGATATGCTCTCAACCAATAAAACACTAGAAAAATGCGACTTTAACTATTGACATATTGACATTGATTATGCGGGACAACACTGAAAAATACGTACGGTATGTGTATAATGACTAATGTGACGTGGGTATTCTGGATTATGTACTGTTTAATAAACGAGTAGGAGTGTTTTATCACATATAAAACACGACGCGTAGCGGAGTGTTTTATATGTGATAAAACACGAACTACGAGTTTATTAAACAGCTTCAAAAACGTCTCAGTTAGATCACGGAATTGGCGAAATAATTTTCCAAAATAACTTTGTATTAGCTGAGAAAATACAAGTTGAAATTTGAAGCGTGTTTTATCACATATAAAGACACGCCACGCTTATGATTTCTCTTTGTGTTTTCCTCATGAATTATTAATCAGTTTTTGAATATTATTATAAAACACTTATTAAAAAACGAAAAAAAAATGCAAAATGCATTGGTATAAATTGTCCTATAATCTACATGCTTGATATAATTATTATATTGACTACATCATAGAATGTACTTTTTCACATAATATGAAAAAGACTGTCTAATATGAAAAAGACTGTCTATGACTATGACCTCTGTTACGTTACAATGAAAATTATATTAGAAAACATCTTAAATGGCCTCTTTGATTTTTAAATCTGATTGATTTCCTGTTGTCCATGCACTTCTATTATGGAAAAAGGCAAAAAGCATCTCTTTCAAATTAATGTTGCACACACGCATCTTCATTTCACTAACTGACTAAGTAATGATGTATTCATCAGTGCAGGCACAATATACTGACATATCTCAAATTAGTATAGAACGTTATACCTTTTAAATAAATGCAAATCATGATTATTATCTCACAATTAAGCAGGTGAATTTAAGACCGGAAAAACAGTTCTATTAATTAACTTTATGCCCATCTATATCATGCTGAGGGGCGTTGACTCCAATACTCCTCCTCGTATACGCTTTCTCAAAAATAAAAATCTTGAAAAATCTCGAAAACCTGGGAAAATTTTTGAAATGCCTAAAACCCTAAATCGCAAAACTTCTTATATAGCTAATAATCTCTTGCAAGATTCATATATGTATATATCTCGGATACGTATCGTACCGAAACGTACTGGTGAGCATGCGCAGATTGAAAAGAGGTTTATAAATCCACGTACTTCCGGCGGCGTGTTCGCGTATCAAAATAAAAAGTTCGTCGCAAGTCAACTTTTTGGCGTACTACGGAAGTACTAACCAATCAACATTTACGAAATTTTGAAATTTAAAAACGTTTTTGATACGTTTGGGTACGGTACGCTTGATGTGGAAAACCGCGGCTTTACTTCCTCCAAACATACGCGGAAATAAATATGCGAAAATTAAACCCCAAGGAATATGAGCCACGCCTTGATAAAAACATAATGGAAATAAGTTTTTTAGATGTTATCAACCGTAGAAGACAGGTGGATTTTAGTTGGAAAATTAACAATTATTTGCTTTAAACTGGACTACTAAAAAGAGTGAAATTTATGAATATCTTTGTCACTGTGATGTGAACGTCAACTATACCTTAAAGCTGGAAATAAATATCGGAAACTCCAATCCCAAATAGGATAAAACTACGCCTCAGAACAAGAAATGCAAGGCATATACCGCTTATTAGTCACTATATACTGGGCCAGGTGAATTTTAGTTGAAAGCAATCTTATCTGAACTCCATTTACCATATATCGATAAACTGAATTAATCGAGAGAAAAGATGAAACACGTATATTGGGCAAAAGAACAGAGAATATGAATTTAAGCTGAAACCAATTTATATTTCTTCTATTTTTTATCTTCATATATGTAATATCTTTAAACTGAGGTGCTTAAAAGATTACGCAGAAGCAAATATCAAAAACACGACTTTAATAGGAGAGACCTGACATAAATTACCGTCATTAGCCACTATATCAACTGCATGTGCATGACAGGTGATTTTAAGAGGAAAACAATTTATCAGCTCCATTTGCATTTCGATGTATAGTTCATAAGTACACATTTACCTATACAGGCTAAGAACAAATATAAGAATTCTCTAGGAAGATGGACTATCAAAATGTTATCCTTACGATCATTGCTGTCATCGCTTTCATTGGCAATATGTTAACAGTTCTGCTATTCTTAAGGAAATCAAAATTGTTAAAAAAGACTTACAACTGTTTAATTCTCGCCTTGGCAATTCAAGATGTACTCCTTGCAATCTGCATCATGGTTTTACCTGGATTCATCTTGGGAGGAGATTATTACAATGTTCCTGCGGACAGCGAAATTTCGAGATGGATATATTGTAAGATGCTTTGGTCGCACTTCATCCCTTTCGCTTTGGGGATAGCATCTGTGTATACCTGTCTTATGTTGACTTTTGACCGCTGGTTAGCTGTTGTAAAACCTCTTTCTTATAAGAAATACGAACAGTCTAGAATGGTTGTCATTTTAACTGTCCTGTTTCCTTGGATTGCTGGAATGTGCTTTGAAATCACGGCACCGTTGGGCACGTCGTCGACTGAAATCAATGGCACGGTCGTATGCTATTGGAAAACGCGCGAATACACGTCGAAAACAATATTTCTCGCCGTATTCACCTTCCTTGGGATGATTGTTATACCAGCCGCACTTATGGTGCTGGCTTACACTAGCATCATCGTCCACATGAAGAGGTCCCAAAACAGAGTTACCGTCATAAGAAACAATAGCGAGATGAGAAGACGAAGGAGCGCATTTATGTCTCTAAAGCGCGTCACAATGACAGCATTTTTTGCGTCTACTGTGGTGATCGTATGTTGGTTGCCGGATCAATTTTTCTACGCCTTGTCACAAGTTCAGTTGACGGAACTACAAACTACAACACATTTCGTTGTCAAGATATTGGCTTTCGCCAATTCATGTTTTAATCCTGTTATCTACTGTTTCTCAAACAGTACGTACACAAGAGGGCTTAGGGAAATGTTCGGTTGTCTCTGTTGTAAAATGTATCCCTTGGTGAGCGAGTTTTCAATGCCAGAGCATACCACGTCTTAATGAACTATAGTATTTGGCCATGCATGTCTTCTAAATAGGTTGCAGAGAATCAAAACTAAGATTACTACGTTCACACCACGCCGGAGCGAAATTGTTTGACGGTTTCTAAACGGAGCGAGATGAAAACGGAGCACTTGGCGGTGTCGTGTAAACACAAACACCTTTATACTTTTTGCACCGCTTACCAACCAAACATCTCAGGTCTCAAAACAGTAAATTCGAATGCTTTTCGTTCAAATTTCTTTGCTCCATTTGAAATATTTTGGGTTTACATGAGCGCTAATTTAATTTGTAAACAAACTGTAACGGCGTATAGGCCTAGTATGAACACACATATATTCTGCCGGGATTATTTCGTTCGGATATAGTATGAACGTAGTCTATAAGTCTTCTCTGGACTCTGAAAAAGCTGAAGAGTTGTTTGCATGGTTGCCTTTCTTGTATGGAAAAGTGCAGTCGTTGGCTATAGCAAGTTTAGAGTGCATGCTTCTGTTTCCGTGGAACTGATTTTTTTGTTGACTGAAGACTATTGTTTTTTTTGGAACAATGGCAACGAAAACGAGAAATGAGATTCGGGATACTTCATGCCTCTGTGGCAATCGTCGGTTGGCGACCTGTTGATGGCAGAGTATACTACTTTTAGCATCTCTATATTTAGTATCTTGCATCTACGATTATACTAGATTTACAAAAAATCAAAACTAAAATTTCAATTGAAAACAAATACCTGTCCGATCCAAATTCATGAAAATGGAATGGACAGGCAGTAACAGCATAAAATTAAATAGCCAGCGTGGCCGCGGCTCTTTTATAAGTAGAGCCTGCCCGAAAGCCCTAGTCAAATTGATGACTCTCGCCAGCCAGCCGCCGAGAATTGTGATTGGCTGAATTTACGTTGACGACAGTTTGATTGACATGTTACGCTAATTTATTCAAATATTTAAGAATAAATACAGTAAAAACAAACGGCATCGCTATATTAAAGTTGTAGCCAGCGTGGCCGGCTCTTTATAAGTAGAGCCTGCCCAAAAGCCCTAGTCAAATTGACGCCGCCCACTTAGTTAATATTCCATATTAACACCGCCGACTCGAAATAGTTTTGTATTAATTCATGACTTAAAATTTTAATTGTTGCATATTTACTATAGCCTGCGCTACATGCTTTCAATAAACTTTTTACAATAAATGTTTAGCGATTCAACTGCCTGGAAATACAAGCAAAACGTCGGCATTTCGAGCGAAGGCCCTTCGACTTTGTCTGGAAATTAGTAGTAGACGAAGACCGTTCAAAATTATATTATGCTTCGCACCTGTATGGCTGTACTACAGTTATAAATATTGCAGTATTAAATATAATGACTTAGGAAAAGTTTAAATAGACCCCTTCCCTTGTTATACACGTTGGCAGGCAAATGTATTTTAAAAGCTCCAAAGAGAGCTTCGTATTATTATGGTGTATTACACACAATGGGGAATGTGTATTGTTTTATATAATCGTAATTTGCCAGCCAGCAAAATATAAACAAGGCAAGGACAGCCAAGGTTTTATACTCTATACTATAGTGACCATACGGTAAAATCATACGACATATGCAGTAATAGCAGTATGGCTTGCCGTATTCTGTTTAGATACCGGTATATGTTATACATTTTACACTTTGTCTTTTGAATTTTATATTTTAGCCGACAGGGCAGTGGCGCCGTGGGACCCATGTTTTAGGGGGGGCCAAGGGCAGAACTTTTCCGACAAACCGGAAACTCGTTTCCGACAGGGTCGTCGCAAAAAAAAATTTTAACTGAACTTTTTTTTGGACGACCTCCACCCCCCCCCCACCCCCCCCGTCGCCAAAAAAATTTCGGTCAGTGTACCATTTTAGGGGTCAAAAATGTTTCCGGACATACCAAAATTTTGCGTGACATTAAACATTTTTCCGAACATCACCAGTTTTCTCCATTTATCCAAAATTCTCCGAATATACTAACGTCGCCAACTTTGGTAATTTTGCACGACCTTAAAAAATTTTCCGAAAATTTCCGACAACATAGACAATTTTCCGACGGTCTCGACAATAGGGGGGCCCGGCCACGGCGCCACTGATTTCCAGGCAGTTGAATCGCTATCCATCTATTGTAAAAAGTTTATTGAGAGCATAGTGGGCGGTGTTAATATGGAATATTAACTAAGTGGGCGGCATCAATTTGACTAGGGCTTTCGGGCAGGCTGTACTTATAAAAGAGCCGGCCACGCTGGCTAAAAATTAAAGTAATTTAGTTGTAGTATTCTGTCGTTTGCAATCAACTGTGAACAAGTAACAGATTTGCTACGTGACTATATAAGGATGCTCTGAGCCTCATGTACGTCTGTTTTGACTTAGCTATATAATTAGCAATTTTTGTCATATATGAAATTTGACAAGCAGGTAGATATATGCATACATAATTAATATATATAATGTAGAGACAAATATCTTCTTTTTTTCTGTCTTTAAGCCAGTTTTCTACTGTAGTCGTATTTATTAAGTAAGTGGGGTGTACTATAATCATTCTTACTTGCTGAGAGCTAAGCTGAATTGCGAAGCGCAGCTCAACCTGATCGAGTCGAAGGCTTACTAAGGACGCCACCTTATGACTCATGTCTGATTAGGCCACAATTTGTTGTATATTAGTTTCTCATCCCCGCCCGCAAGCTTTTTAAGAAAATGGTCTTGTTCGCCATTATTGCCAATATTGCCATTTTTGACCATTATTATAAATTTTGAGATGTCTTCAAAGTGAAATTTGAAAGAAAGACAATTAGAAACGTTCCCAAGCCAAATGTTATAGTTAATAAAATACGAAATTTCATACCAAAACTGAACTTTCATACCAAAACTGCCAGTTTCTCCTGCAATTACATACCCGCTATCAAATATGCAAACTCAGCTATAAAAGTTCTACCAGAAGTCAGGGGCAGGGAAGAAAAACGCGAGACGACTTTGCTACAAAATTATTTCACATGTGGAGCGGCCATGTTTTTACTTTTTAATATGAAAACATGGTTTCAGTTGCAAATTTTGTGCTGTTTTGCAATTCTGAATTACAGGGTGCGAAATTATTCAGAAAGTTGCAGCTGTATAAAACATATACAACGATTCCTGTATTTTCCGGTACGCACTATATAAATGCTTAATGCGCACTTTTACAAAATAAATTTTACGGAGAGGGGAAATCCTGCAAATAATGGCATAATGGTAATGGCCCGCCCGCCCGCATCAACTTTAGGTGAAGCTCCGGATGAGAAACTAATATACAACAAATAGTGGCCTTATGCACCGAGCACAGCTACGGTGGGAGGATCAGTTCACTCAGTTAGGGCCGGGGCTAATCCCAACCTACCCTGTCAATATTCCCTGTGAGAGGAGACTGGAGAACCCGGAGAAAACCAGTGAACTCTAAGAGAACTGGAACGATAACTTGGCCGCCATCTTTGAAGCCACTCATGATGGCCGCCATGTAGGTATGGAGTGGAAAATACGCCGCCTAAAAGATGTCTGTTTTCGACCACTAAATAGCTGTATTTCAACAAGGAAAAAAGCTAAAAGCTTTCTGAAATTTAATACAAAACATGTTTCCAGAACGTAGAGCAGTTATAAAGTTCTTTTTTCAGGAGTCAAAGTGCAAAGTTTTTTTCGGCATGTTCAAACTTCTGTAATATTTTGAATATCAAGCTGTTACCCAGGAAGTTTTTGCTGTTAGTGGATGTAAAATACTTAGAACTATCCAGGAAACCAGGTTTGAATCTTTAAAGTTGAAGACTTTCGATAAAAAAGTGCTTTTTCTTGCTGATTTTCGCTCAAAAACAACCTTTTGACTGAATTTCCCGCTCCTCGAAACTCTCCCCAGTCCTTTTGAAAGTTAATTTATTGCTCGCTGAGCTTGCGAGAAGCGCCATCTTGGCTTCGGGCAAGTATGGGCATGTTTACCTGCAGTTAGCGTTCCAGTGTTATTACAGTTCACTGGAGAAAACACATGACTTTCGGCAGAGCGTTGACTAACTCTTTTCACATAAGTGTCACTAGTCCGATGTGAGGATCAAACACACATCTCAGAGGTGAAAGGCGCTTGCTATGACGATCGCGCGAAGCGACTCCTTCCTTTGTCGGTCCGACTTATCACGTCAACAAAATCGATGCCGCCAGAGGAAAAAAGTCGCATCGTGCGAAGAATTCGCAAAGTGCATGAAAGCAAACTTTATAAGTATTTTTAGCCACAGTTTACAATGCAAATGAAAATTATGAAATGGCTGTCAATAAGTGGCTTGAAAACACGGAGTTCAATTTTCGTTGCATAGTTTGCATATTGTCCCATATAAAATTATGGGCGGTATTCTTGGGTTTCACTACGGCATTTTGCAGAGAATCTGACGGGGGGTGAACACCTCTCAAATGTATTTATGCTTATGCTGTACTGGAGTGAGAAAATGGTACGAAATGCCATGTATTTGCCACCAAACACAAGGCTAATACATAAAACGAACAATCGTCAATCGACTCTGATAACTGTGTACGTTTGTTTTAGAGTTGACCTCCAGTCACTTCTGTGACGTCATATGAAACCCAAGAATTTGATCAGTATCAGATTAATCTACAAGACTACAACGTATATTTGAATGTGTACTCATGAGATACGAAATAAAGTTCGTTTTAAAATTCTGTCCTTGAGTTTTATAATGCCACAATTTGACTATAAGCCGCTAAGACTAACTGACTAAGGAGGAAGGGCCTGTTTATACCGGGAGAAGAAAAGACTGAGTACGCGACCTAGTTCGCTTACCCGAGACGTATTTCACCTGAGTGTACATCATTACTGTTCAGACCGGCCGCGTGGCCGGCTCGCCAAAACAAAGCCCCCGGGTTGAGTTTATAAACATTTTCTAACGAACATGAAATCATAACCTTAGCGAACAATTTTCATAGCTAGCCTACAATGCACCGAACATATAATCACAGATTAAGATCGAAATCCATCAAAAAATCTCATTTAGGTCATTTATGTATTTGCATATCAAAAGCAATTACACTCGGCTTAGGTATATAGCCAAGCTAAGCCGGCCAAAGTCATCGCACTGGTTTATATGGAAAATAAAAGCCCTGCCTGTTTAATAGAGATTTCGATTCGGTCGAGGCTTTTTAGCCGCGATTACCGCAAAGCTAGATATCCTGATAATGAACATCCTTTTCTGATCCCTATATAGGCAATTAATTCTTCGCAGGGAAGAAACTGTCCTGCTGTTAGTAGTCAAGTCACAGTAATATTAAATGGAGGGCTACTTAAAATATTTCATTTGTTCACTTACAATATTGGCCATATTATGTTCTGTGTTGGCGAGCCATACTACTCTATTGCTTACGTCAGCTAGCAAATGTTGAAGGATTTTGTATAGATGGAAATTTCGAGTGTGAACTTTATACATTTATCTATAGACCTAACGTAACCATGCATCCACTGGGGAAAAAAATTTGAAATCCATGCTATGACTGAATTTGCAATTGTATCGGCTAAATCCATAGTATATTCATACTACTTCAATACTGTATCCATAGCTAACATAGTATGGAAATATACAATTATTATGGATAACCAAAGTCCATTCTATTTCCAATGAAGGTCCATACAATTTCCATTCTATGACCTTCCATAGATTTTCAATTTTTTTTCCAGTGTATCAGTGGTAGTATCTGTGAACTATGCAACTATAGGCACTTATAGGCCCTCTGCAATCCCGGTGCAGCGCTCTAACCAACTGAGCTACAGAAGCCAGTTGTTACCGAGCTCTTACATGGTTAAGTCTAAATAATTGTATATTAAGCCTGGTTTCCATATGGTCGTAATGGTAAATGATCGTACAATAGAGTTCTCAACAGCCAGTTTATAATAGTTTATACCTCATGTAAACCGCATATCTTGATCATGAGTATTCTCTAGTTATAATCACTCCTCGTATTTTCAGTTCTATAAAATGTTGTATTTCAGCTGATGAGAAAGATACGACTATATGGAAACCAGGCTTAAATTTGCACTTTCCAAAACATTTTTGATAAACATGTGATGAAATAAAGGCCCAAAAAGTTTTAACGTTGCTCTATCTTATGCGAAAACGTCCGTTTTAGGATTGAACTTGCGTCCATGGCATGAGCAGTTTTCGATATCCTTTGCGGAAATTTTTATTCATAAATCCATATATCACGGGATTCATGAAACAATTGGAGAAGACGAGAACACCGACAACCCTGACCGGAATACTTGGTTTCAGTTCAAAGTAGCCAAGCTGGGCGAGCAGAAAGTAAAGCTGGTTTGGTAGCCAACACAAGACGAGAGCCAAAGATGCGACGGCCATCATTATCGTTGCCCGTTTGAGGACGTGCTTCGAGTAATTGTCGGATGATTTGGACGAAGTTAATGCTTTCCTGGCTGAAACTGGATACATTCTTTCATCTTTGAATCTGAAAGGTTCACGGGAAGTTTTCAAAGTGTGCAAAAATGAAAACAATTTCATGCACGCCCAAAATGAGAAGGTACAGGTTAGTGCAATCGGTACAGTTACTATATCCTCGTGATATTAGATATACTACTTTTGCGACTGGGTAAAGAAAATAAACGATTATGGCCAAAAGCCGTAGAACGACGGAGGTTTTTCTCCTCATATACGACTTTCTTCCCCCTTCACCCATTCAATGTTGTTTTACGTAATTATAAGTAATAGCTGAAAATATGACTGCAACAATACTGTCACTGAAACAACATTGAATGTGGCGTGGACATGCGTGGCAGTTACACCAGCCTGACTTTATATTCTCGCACATTTTGTATATTTGGTGTCTTGCTCGGAAAAGACACTGAGGAAAAAATTGTGAAATCCATACTATGAAATTTGCAATTGCACCACTAAATCCATAGTATATCCATACTTATGATATTTGCTGTGTTGGTGTAATGTACTCAGGTGAATAAAATGCTTGTGATGTTACTCTGAGCGGTGCATATCCACACTGGGCAGGCTTGAAAAATATGCCTGGACACGGTGGGAATCGAACCTACGATTGTGGGAATCGAACCTACGACAAAGGTCGTACGTTCGATTCCCACCGTGGCCAGGCATATTTTTCAAGCCTGCCCGGTGTGGATATACACTCAGAGTAACATCACAAGCATATTATATCCATACTATTTCGATACTATATCCATAGTATGGAAATATACAATTATTATGGATAATCAAAATCCATCCTATTTCCAATAAAGGTCCATACAATTTCCATTCTATGACCTTCTATGGACTTTCAAAATTTTTTCCAGTGAAATACTACTAATACTTTCTAAAATGTGGTCGACGCGCGGCAATCACCTTTCGTTCTGGCTTTTAAAAACACAAGGTTGGGAATAATATGAAGATTTAATTAATGTTTCTTGAGTTCCTTCCAGCACAATACACAATACCTTTAAGAAAGGAACTCAAGAAACATTACTGAATTAAATATTCATATTCTCCATTTGCTGTATAGCATAAATAGTCTCAGACTTCATACCACCTACTTAAGTTTAGCGTCCTTTAGAATCATTTCTATATACCCGTCGAAGGCTACAGACTCAGGGATAGCCGAAACTCGTAGAAATAAATATTAAGTCAGAGAACGTTCAATAAATAATAATCACCTATAATCAAATAATTATTGGGTAGAAACAGATATTGAATTTTACCTGGTGAAGATATGGACATAAGCGAATACGATGAGGCAGCATGGAACAAAAGTCTGCCCAGCAAACAAGAAGATTGCAAGACCCCAAGATTTTTGTTTATTCGTCTCGACGGTCCATTTGCAATTGGCTTTTGAGTCGTTGGGACCTTGGTAGCCTTCCACGCGTGCGATTACGGGTGCCTCGAACGCGATTCCAGCAACCCAACTGCATACGATCAAAATCTGCATCGTCCGTACACCGAACTTTTCTTTGTAGAAAACCGGACGAATTACGGCAAACCATCTCTCTATCGCGAGAACGAGGCATGTGTACACTGAGGTTATTCCCAGGGAAAATGGAATGAAATGAGACCAGACGATTCGGCAGTAGAATTCCCGTGAGGAGTAACCTAGGATAAGGATACGGATATAAAGGATAAACTTATAGTTTCAAGTAGTTTCATTACTAATTGGCAATAAAATAAAGTCTCTTAAACAATCTAATATTGGCCGAAATTTGTTTTATCCAAACAGAAATAGGTTGAATACTTGACCATATAAGTGATAAATATATTGTTATTAAGATTTCAGAATTCTTAGGACTTTACTACACATCTGCGATTTATAAAATTCTCACATGTATGGAAAATTATTGAGGTGGGGGGCTAAAGCTTCCTAAGCCCCTCCCCTTCTCCGCGGTCCCTGCACATGACTTCGAACGTTTTAAATGTTGGCGTGGTTATCAGGTTATAAGTCGTGAAGATGATGTATAAATAACGTAGCAGTTCGGACAACTTTGGCCTGTTAGGAACGGCGTACCGCTTGCCGTAAAATTACATACCGCTGGCTCAACCTGCAGTTAACAGTGTTATTTGCTGGGATGCAGGTTGCTTGATTTCCGTATTTAGTTGTAAGCTATTGACCAATCAGCACACACGTAGTGGTTGCAGGTGGTCACTCACAGGCCGTTCTGCAGTGTTTGCAAAAACGTATAGTAAGAAATTAATCATATGGATATCAACCAAATTATCATTTTTCTTACCTAAAGGAACTGTATAGGCGTCCGGATCTTGTACAAATTTTGGCACGACGAGCAGAGATATGGCGGTCAAAATATCAGTGACGGCAAGATTAAGAATACACTGACAATGTTTCTTCTTTAGCCATTTTGGAAAACGAGCAAACAGCACCAAAACCATGAGGTTTCCAATGAGTGCTAAAGTGGCTGTCAAAGAGAAAATCACTTTCGTCACTGTTCTTGTGCTATCGGTTGATTTTGGTAGCGATGATATCAATGTTCCATTCATCTTCGGATCTGTCAGAGAGCGTCACTTAAACCGTTTCTTCTCTTAGAATCGATCTTTGTTAAACCTTTGAATTGTCTACACTGATGTTTGCTTCTTCTTTTAAAACCGTTCTTCCCGCTTTTGAACGTTATTATATTAAGTTGAACACTTTGGTCTGCTTCTTGTCCAATGGAAATGTAATATTCTGTACTTTGTGGTCAAGATTGGCTACGTCTTCCTTTGAAACAGGTATCGCCAACCCCTTAATTCTTTCTCTACACACAATTTCCAAATTTGTCAATATTGGATTTCATGCACACTCGCCTCGTCGATCTTCAAAAGCTTAAGTTTATAGGCCTATACATAAAATATAAAACGCTCTTTCAATCTTTTTCAAAAACTTTTATATACCCTATTTTTTGCCGAACCTTGAAATAAAGCACTCGCCCAAACGCTGATATGAGCAATTGAATCTCAATGATGGCAAAATTAAATTTGATATCCGTTCAATAGCAACACGAATTGTTTATATATAGCTTGCATGGACGATCAGATATTCATATTTCCACTATCAGCCGATGCTTTATATTTGGATAAGGGCTTGCCCAAATACCAAATCGTACATAAAATTTATTGTTTAGGATTCATAAAATGCTCTCAAACATTGCTCAACTGAGTAACTCTGCGATATGAAAGCTTGTCAAAATTGATTTCGACGCCTGCAATTACTCAGTTTTATAGAGATATCACAAGCTCATGCAGGGAATCTCATTACAATTTTAATTATATTTTCTTTGAAACAATTACAGCAATTAAAAAACATCCGGCACGCTATATATAAATTCGACCAATTATATATCAAGTTCGACATATGGCTGTCTGCAGACGCTCATTTTTTACAAACACAAAATGTTGATTCATTGTTGGCTGATTTTAACAGATTTGACACTGCTTTCTTTGAAATGCCTAGTCAGTAACGATTAAAACCTATGATTGCCATGTACTATGTAATTAAGGGAATGCAAAACAATTTCATTAGATACTTCACAAAATGATAACGTTAACATATAGCCGCTATGTTTCCACGAGGTTTTACTTTAGGCCACATAAAAAATAGTTGGTTAGCGTCCTTTAATAGCTTTTGCCAAAAAGTGCATGGGTGGGCGGGCGGGTTTTTAATTTGTACTAATTTTTAACGCCTTGGTTTTAGGTCCGAAACTGGATTTTCTTGCGCAGTACTACAGACATTTCTTGAACTTTTTTTTTATATGTTTCAAAATATGATTCATACCGTCATTTTCGCACGCTTAATTTATATTCTAGAACACTAAGGTTTTTTAAATAAAAGACTGATTTAAAGATTTACTACAATTAGCGGCTTTCTCACGACGGACGAATATCCGCCATTTTTGGGTGGCATCCAATTCTCGTTAGCCAATGCAGACAATTACATGTAAAACAATGTGAAAAGCAATTTTTCAAAATAAACCAACCATTAACAAAGCAAACTTACTATAATTTGTCAAAAATATTATAAAAAAAGTCGCTATTATATGTGGACTCATCTCGCCAGACCTCGGCTGAAAAGCCACCCAAAAATGGAGGCGTGAGAAAGGCTATAATTGACTACAGAAATACTACATATATTAAAGCCCCTGACGTTGAGTTTGGGTCGGACATATGTCCGATGACCTTCAGTTCAGTTTTCAGACTCGGAAATAAGTCTGAATGACACAATTTCACGAATGGGTCGGACAATGTCCGTGACCGACCGATATTTTAAGGCCTGCGGGTAATAACAATAACACCAGAAAGCTTTGGATTGGGAGGGATTCAAGTACCCGAAAAGTGAAAAATACTACCCTGAAAAATACGATTAGTAAAACTTAAAAGTTTTATTTGTAAAAATTCAACAGAATAAAATGTTACAATTTGGCAATTGCTAGATAGTATACTTCAAAATAAGATTTCCGTTTTTATTCTATTTTTAAAATAAGTTAGGGTTAGGTTAGGGTTTAGGTTAGGGTTAGGTTGGGGTTAGGGTTAGGTTTAGTATTAGGGTTAGGGTTTAGTTTTGCGTTAGGATAGTTTTTTCTACGTTATAAAAACGGAAACCTTCTTTTGAAGTATACTATCTAGCAATCACCGTTACAATTTACCGCGTCCATCTGTTGTTCATTCTACTGATTAATGTACTAATACATATAGTACAAATTCAGCTTGGTTTTACAAATTTAATACATCTTTGAAATGAGTAATTATTAATTAGCAAATCCACATGCGTTAATATTGATTATATTACCTCGGCTAGGAGTTATATATTTTGAACCGCGTTGTATATATGTGCATGTCTGTGATGTCTGTCTGTCTGTGCGTGTTTGCATGTCAGCCATGGTAACTTAGAAAATATCAATCGTATAATAGATTATAATACGAAGATTTGTGGAACGAATGAACATTTATCCAAAGACAAATTCAGGTTGAATTTTGGTTGAATTTAAATGAAAATTTCATATGAGAAATTAGCAAAAGTTTGTCTTGCTAGCCCATTGTATAATTTATGCATGATGTATAATTTAATTCGCTGTATGTAATTGAACTAGGCTTTCCTCGGCTTATACGATAAAACTCATTTGGTAAAGGGTTGGTCATTGTTTGCTCAATAAGCGGGTTCAAACCAGGCTTGTTTGAATTTTTTGCTGGCAATAAAATATTGGATTTTCAGTACCATGTCCTGCATGAGTATAAATGACTATACTACTCTCTAGAATAGAGTTGAAACAGTATGAAGTCGCTATGTCATAATTACGTCCAATGCAGAACAGTGAGCATTTTCCCCCAAGGGAGGGTGGGTTGATCAATTTGCCTTTTGTGATTGCCTAGCGCATTCGCTGAAAGCACCCTTCATTCATATTTTCGGGAAATCGTTGGGTGTTTAATACGGGAATGGCAAAACGAGCTGCTTCGAGCATTGGCCTTTATACAGAGTTGGACTAAATTGTCACCTGCAGACTTTATGCACGTTATATCCCGCTCATTATGTGTTAACACGCTCATCTGAACAAACCTTAAAAAGAAGGGTGCATGAGATCAACGTTAATGTGTTGGCAGTTTGCTGATGTTTGAAGATGTTAGCTATAGATCAGGTTTGACTTCGTTCAAATTTTTTATCCAGAATTGTTGTTGAATGGACCGTGCAACAACGCTGGAGGATGTTGGTTTGAACGATCATTTAAGGCTGAGAGTTTTCATGTCGTGACTGATTAACATCTCGAACAGGTAATAATGTCGTGAATGTTGACAAAAACATCGCGTGTTTGCAGGCCAAATTTGTACTCTCAAACAAAAGGAGGCAAGGGCACGCGATAAGGTACATTTTCACGCTGTTATTTTATGCATGTTAGGATATAGACTATATACTACAGCTGTTTCAATAAAGGTTGTTTCAAGCAATAGTAAAATGTACAATTCAAGCGCGAAGAGTATAATGGGAATGGGATATTTTATAGGTTATAAATCGCCTCGTGGGATTAGCAAGTTGTGAGCATTTATATTATTTGTATAATTTGATTTGCAAGTAGTACAGTTCATGAAATCGACCATTCCGTGTAGCAAAACTGTCCGGTATGCGTAGTTTTTAGGCTGACAACCCAGACTTAGATGGAGAACTGTTTCCTTGACAGAAATAATATATATAGGACAGCTTTTATACTAACAAACTTCGACCGTTTGTCGCTGATTTCTGGTACATTGCTGTACTTATTGTGACTGATAATGCCTGGTTTCCATATGGTAGAAATGGTCGTAAGAATATAGAGTCACGATTTTTACTGATATGGAACGGCTAGTTTTATATTATAGTTTATACCTGCATGCATGTAAACCACATATAAATCATAACTAGTATTCTCTAGTTATAATCACTCCGCGTATTTTTAGTTCTAAATATTGTATTTCAGCTGATGAGAAAGATCGTGACCCAATCTTTACGACTGTTACGACCATATGGAGAACCAGGCTTAAGTTACATGCAAACCCAGAAACTGCAAGTGTACCCCTGGGAATTGCCAAAACAAAAAGGAGCTATGGTCGTGAGCTACCCAGCTAAACATATTAAAATAGGTATATCTAACTTGCTGTTCGCGCTTGGAATGTAGCTATAGCCTACAATTGACTATGACAAACGTAGTTGAAATAGCTGTATATTCATATTACATTCAAAGACTTATTTTACCCATGCAGTACATTTTATATCATGCAATAATGCACAAAATTATTTACCATAAGCCAATTACAGACGAGCAAGGTTTGAGATTTCTATGACAAGTTTTCATGTGGCAAGTTTTACTTGTTAATTGCATGGACGTGTGTACCTACAACAAATTTTCTATGACAAGTTTTTGGTTTTTTGACTACCACGATAGCCATATAATAAACTATTACAGCATCTGATGCTGCCCAAGTTTTCTTTGTTGACCCATATATATACAGACGAACAAAATTTGTACTTTGACATTTTTTTCTGTGACAAGTACACATGTACTTGTTCCAGAACTTGCTCGTCTGTAACAGGCTTATTGTTTTCACTGTATTGTCTGACGCTTTGAGACGCACAAACATTATATTTTCAATAAATTCAGTCGATAACCCGGCTACGCTAATTATTATACATTATCGTCCCTTAATTCGATTAATTATGAACACAATGCAAAGTTTCCATTTTCAATTATGTTTTTTGTCAGTTTATGACAAAAAAATGTGTACGTTAACATTAAGTACTCAACACTCAAACATCTGTTACATAAAGTTTGCCGCGACTGTGTCCTATCGTTTTTTTAAAGTATAATTGTACTTCTCAAAATTTAATTATAAAAAATTGCGCAATTCTAAAGAGCAATTTATTTTCTTTATTGGCTTTTTGACAAAGAGAACGCTTGCATGCATGTATATTGTATAGCAAAAGGTGTTGCAGCTATTAACTTTAATTATATCCTTCCATGTGCAGTAATCAGTATTATAAT